CAACAATAGTTGTGAATAAGAGAACGGTGTTTGCGTCGAATATTCTTGTTGCGACACTACAAATTCACGGGCAGCCTCTTCATTATTACTGTGCCTTTGTCTCGGTCTCTTCTCCTTGCTTGCCCTCGAACTTGTCTGCATGTAATAGAATATTAATTCGTGGTCGTAGAAGATTATAGATGTGGAAAGATGAACAAACCCTTGATTTCTTTAACTCCAATGGACTTTTTCTCGAAGCGTTCGGGGTGCCCCTTTTTTCTTCGCAACTTTCGAATCCTGTTTGTTGTTGGTTGTAGCAGTTTGTGAAGAAGTACACTGAGATGATAAATGTATAGTATGCTGCAAAACGATATTACTTGCACTACATGACTTTGTAGACATAAGCTCATTCGCTTGTACTTGTATTCAGTCCAATATCGCACGTGTCCGGCACTCACCATTTGCAACAAGGTCAGCCACCTCCGTAAAATCTTTACACATATTGTCACACCTCAACTGTCCGGGAGTACTGAGCAGACCGTCGTAATTCACTGCAACCCTTATGCATGCTTTAGTAACATCTCTCCTTCACCTTTGTAGTGTATAATGCTCAGGCAATTGTGTGATGTCATTACGAATCAATACCGCAATCGCATGTCTACAAACAATGCCTAGAAATTCAAACAAGTGGTAGTTGCATATAAACTCAGATGTCTCTCTCTAATGAGACAAAAACAAAGTTTTCTTCTTTCCCTGCTCATAATAGAGGACATTCTCACGTACCTCATACGTGGTCTCTGAAAATCCCTTCGAAACATATATGAGATCACAATATACCTTACCCTTGAATTCATCCTGTACTTCTTTGAATTTCGAAATAGTATATACTGATTGAAAATGCTTTTCGATTTCATAATTCGTGGCGCACGGTACAGTTTGTGAGTATGACTTGAAATCAGTTTGAAACTCTTTTTCGACCTTACTTATGAGTGCTCGTTCATATTGTTTCACAAACTGCTTCAAAGAGATCTTCAAATGGACATAACCGTTGAAAAACACACTCATACTCTTAATTCGTTAAGTTGTGGACGTCCCTGCCCAAAAAGCTATTTTCAAAAAGCAAAGCACCCAACGACCTCCATTAGTATACAACCCCGACAATCATTCATTATCCATCAACTCATATGTCTCGATCATCTCTTTCCAACATACTTCAAATTCTTCAATATTCTGTGAATCATACTCCAACTGATGTATAGCCGAAAATATGGAAGCCTAATCAACATGGTATCCAAACTTCTCCAGCAACTTCTTCAAAATGTGCCACAAACACCACTTATGCTTTGTGTATGGGAAAACGATCTCAAAAGCATTTTGCATGGCCCTAGCTTGATCAGTAATTATTCTACGAGGAGCTTTATCGTGCATGCACTCAAGCCATGTCCTAAACAGCCAGACAAAGGTATCTCTATCCTCGTTCGATAACAATCCACAACCAAACAAAGTTGATTGACCGTGATTATTTACACCAACAAAAGGTGCGAATGACATGTCATACTTGTTAGTGAGATATGTTGTATCAAATGTGATAATATCGCCAAACTTCATATATACCTGCCTACACCTATTATTAGACCAAATCATGTTCTTGAGGCGAGACTCGTCATCTACATCTATACTGAACTAAAAACCTGAGCAACGTTCATTTTTGAAAAATAACTTTGTGTGACGGTTGCATCTCCTTCTCCAAGTCGCAATTGCCTCAATTGTTTAATATAATTGTGACAGTCCTTTTTCATACACGTCATGTTCTCACATCCTCCCACTTCAACTACTGCGGAGTTGAAACTTTTGTGTAACGAAATTTCTGCCAAATCATTCACTTCAAGTTTTTGTTTTATAGTTGCACTCAACTCTCCGTTGTATCGATACAACCTAGTCTTAGAAGGGCTAGTTCTATGGTTATGGTCAAGGTGAATTGTATTAATTCTCCACATTCCATAACTATCCGATGAACCAGAGATCCTTGCTTTACAATCTGTTTGACTGATTGGTTGTGGATTTAAAGAGCCGCTTGCATTACTTGGTCTTCGACCTTCATGACTACATGTCAAGGTCACATATTTCAACAGTCCATTGTCCCTCCTTTTTGAGTTTCTTTTTTGAACTGGAAAACCAACATCATAGGCATACCTCTTGTAGAAGTCATACAATTTTTTATCGTCGTTGAACATCATACTCACCTCAGATACAATCGGCCTCTTTTGTCCTAGTGTTTCGTCTTCCACCCCAATAACATTCTTGGTAGCATTATCATTATCGAATTCTAAAACAAGTTCCTCATTTTCGAATTCTAAAACAAGTTCGTCATTTCCAATTTCCATAATTTCCTATGCTAAAAGAAAAGAAGCTATAATGTTAGTCATCACATACACCAATTCCACGGTAAAATTGAAGTTCACAATTCATATATAAGTGTCCACGGTAAAGAACAAATCCCAGATCAAGAAATTGAAATTAAAGACCGACAAAACAAAAGACCGAATGTTTCAAACACGGGAGAAGGCAAAATCGATAGAATAAAAAAATGAAGGAAATTTTAGAAAGCCAAGGAGATAGAAACAGCAAATGTTATACTGCCTACAAAGAGCCATTTTGCTAGGTTTAAAAAGAAACTTTGTGTGCGCTTTTTCAAAGCACACAAAATGAAATTTAACCTTACTGATTTAAAGAAGGAAAATGAAAATTCACATTGATCTTCAATTTCATCTATTTTATTCTCAATATTTAGGATTTGTCTAATGAAACTTCTAATTATATGTGCATCACTAATTTTAGTTAATACAACTGACATTCAAGTCCAAGCCTTTGAACAAATCGAAGACTTCGTAGTGAGATACCTTCAACATCTCCCGAATTTTAGTAGAGGTAAGTGCTTCCTCGTTCTAATTTTGATGGCCGGCAACATAATCCGAACTTGACACGGGTACATGCAAACCCTAGAAAACCCGACTCCTGTAGTTTATCGTCATCTTATAGTGCGACTGACAATTGAACGAAAGGATGGGCTGAGAATATGGATGTAATTTCCTTTTTGCCAAAGATTGGAATGGAATGGGAAAATTGGAGGAAATGAGGAGGGTTTTCCCCCAGAGGTATAGTACCGGTTGTCTTACCGTCGACGGAGAGGACTTTTAACCACACAAATATGTAATTCTCAGTCAGATAAAAGAAAGGAATGGACGGTGAAAAATGGCGAAAATGAGGTAAGTTTTCCCGCTTTTGTTTTAGTCCTTCCTTGCCCTTTTTTTAATGGTAAAAAATATTGAATCTTGTATTTTGACCTCTCTAGCTCAGCATTTTTCAAAATTTCTGTAAAGTACCTATGAGCCTCTTTCGGTATAGCCAACATTATTCTTCAAGCATTATTTACCTGGATTTTGAGCCATCATGTCGGTACTTGCTTAAAGAATTGAAGCATGCATGACGATTGGTGAAGAGTAAACTAAAATGAGTCAGAACTTTTTGAAAAGATATCTCTAATCTTGGAAGGAAAATATTGGGATTTAACAAAAGTAAAAAAATATGTATTTTTCTTACGACTGAAATGAGCAATGGAAACTAAGTCGGCCCTATTTTGTGGAAATAAAAATGGGTGAAATAGTGTTTTTTTTTTTAAAAAAAAGAGTTTTTAAAAAAGAAGGAAAATTTTTTGATTTATGTGTAATATTATTTTATGAAAGATTGTATGATTGAAAATAGGAAAGAGAAAAATGAAATGAAAATTAATGGAGGCCAAACAAGGGCGAAGAATGAAAAGAGATGACGAATAGACTTGAGAGGAGAGTTGTTCAATTTGAATAGTCTTAGTTTCTTAAAGAGTACAAAGTGATAGTGAACCGGTCAACAGAAGACGGGAAAATTACAAGTGGAGTCCTCAACCGTCAGAAAGTATAGCATTGAGGCCTAAGACTTTTCGAAGTCTTTGAGTTCTCTCTACCTTCACCAAATTAAGCACATAAATCCCTACAACATAGGAGCCACTAATTTTTTTGTCTAAACGAGCTTGATAAGCCAAGCTCAAACTCATTCAAGCACGAGCCGAGCCGAGTACACGAGCTCAAGATTTAAAATTTTTTTTTTTTACTTTTTGGTTTACATTTTTTATGAGCCCTCGGCTCATGGGCTCGTGGGCAGCTCGACGAGCTGAACCTCGCTTAACTCATCAAACAAACCTCCATCTCGAGCTCGAGCCAGAGCCCAAGCCGTCCGTGGACCGAGTTTTGATGAGTTGAGCCGATGAACCATTAAACCACTATTAAAACAAAGATTTCTTTATCAATCAAAATTGGAAATAAACTTGATTATATTAAAAAAAAAACCACTATCTCAGGTTAACATAAGTGATTATTTTACTTATTTAATTAAAAAGAAACTTATCTAAATATATTTGCAAAGTAAATTTGACTCAAAGTGAATTTGATTTACCTCTAGTAATTTGCAATTCTTCGAACCTCTTTCTAGATTTGCTCCCTATGTTATGTTGGCCAATGACAATTGTGCTTAACTTTAACCCTATTTTTCAAAGCTTAACCATGTTTAACCTCATTTCTTAAAATTCATTTTTCTTCAAAGTCATTTTGAACTACGCATTTCATGAGATCCACCATTTCTATCAACTTTTCTACTATACATTTTACTAATTTTCATCAAAATTTACAAAGAATTTAATTTTTATACAAGCCAAACATTGACTTAATTCTTTTCATGAAAACTATAAATTCTTCACTTACATTTTTGTCATTAAATATATATATTCCAAGAGAGAAGGATCCATAAACATTCGGATAAATTCTTCACTTTACATTTTTGTCATTAAAACTGTTGAATTTGATGGTAATAGCAAAAGATATTTTTCACCCATTATCATTGAAACCATTCCGTCTCCTCATTTTTGGAAATTAACAACTGCTATTGATTCTATTCATAAATAAATAGGAGGATCTATTCCACGTAACATATAAAAAATTAACATTTACAAACTCATTCATGACTACTAACTAGACTTTTGTTTACAAAAAATTAAATGACGAAACAAATCTAGCTTGAGACAAATTAATACGAGCCAAAACTCTTTGAAAAAATGATTTATTGCTCACATGAGCAAGCAAAGTTAAAGTGTATGAAAGAATGAAGATTTGAAATAGCTTCCACGATAGGGCAGATTTGGAGCACAAGAGGTGCTTCTAGTGATGGTACTATCGGTTGTGTTACATAATGATTTACATATAAATTATAAATGATGTGGTGAGATATGACTGGGTAAAAATTTCTTTAAGAAAAAAAAAAAAAAACTTTCCCACTCTTTTTTTGACACCTCATCTATATATAAACCATTATGTAATTCCTTATGCACAAGTAGCATTATTCTAGAACCATTGATTCAGCAAGGGCTAAGCATCTGAGTTAAGCCCTGGTTATGTCCACTTCCTGTCAAACCTTAGGTAGCTGCTGGAATGGGGGTCCTTGGACTTGACAGTCCCATACATACAAGCCTAGGAGAGAGTCGAACCTTAGGACTTGGTCGTGGCGATGGGATTGGAACGTAGTTGCTGACAGGTCCACAAGGCACCCTAGGAGAAAGGTTAACTTGTTCAAGAGCTCGGAATTGCAGATCTGCAGGGTATTCCCGGACACATCCAATGCGTGGTCCATTTCCAGTAGTCCATTTGCAGGACATGTGCTTAGCCAAGTTATACACTGGTTTATCCATTTGATCAGCGCCTATAATTTCTGTTTCCTGGGCTTGGCCATCTACATCAGAAGTGCTTACAGCTTTTGATTGACTGGCTTCAGAACCACCTAATGATGGTCTTGGAATTGATTCCTCATTGGCACCCTTATTAAAAGGAGGGCAGTCATCATCAATTGCACATCTCTGCAAAAGATGAAATTGGAGAAGGTCATGCTTTTATGCAAAGGAACTTAAGTTTGCAGATCAAATTCTACCATGACAGTGTAGATTTTGTAACAATTACCTTTACATTAGCAAGATCTACACGGTGATCCTCCAGGAAGCTTATGAATTCGCTGAAGTTCTCCTCTGTTGGATGATAGTGACCACTATATGGCCAAATTGCCTGTGAAATTGTGCAAATTATTTAATCCACTGGTACAGTACAAATTCAACAGTATTTCAAAAACTGAAGATTATTGGGTACTCTTTAGAATTATGTATATATATACCTCAAGAACACCATCATGAGCAACCAATCTTCCAGCTGCTGTGATGGCCCCACCAGCAAGAAAACTTGAATGCTGAAAAAGACCTTTCTTCTTCTTTCCTACGTACAGAATTTTCGACGTGCTAAGAACAAATATCCATTTTGAACCTTCTATCGTGTCCACAGTGGTACCACTTTCTTTGTACACGAGCTTCCCATTTTCAACCACGACTTCAAACGATTCTCTCTCTTTCTGTTAGAGGATGATCAAATACGCTTGTGAGAAAGCTAGTTAATTGAAAATATAAATTCACGTACAAGTTCTGCTTGTGAGACTGCTAATAGGCTTCAATGACTAGAAACTTACTGGACCTAGATATTTGATGCACTCCCGTTGCAAATTGACCCGTGGGCACTTCTCAAGATTTAGTTCTTTTCCATCTCCCACATCTAACCTTCACATGACAGAAAAAATATTGTATGAGCAAGTCAGTCAGAAACATTTTGTTCATTAACATATCATAAAATCGATACTCCAATTTAGAGGGAAAGGGAGAAGAAAGCTTTGAATGCACTTAATAGTTAAAGATGGTAACTATTTTAACTTGCTACTCCCATAATTGTTCCACAATTCTCAAACCAAATAAGTTATCAATCTGAAATAGTTAATTAGGTGCTCACCAGTAAAAGAATGGCTGCGCGCTTTCACTTTTGAACCAGATATCATAATAGAGATGTAAATTGTGCCCGTACCTATGGCGTGGATCGATCTACAGAAAAAAGGTGAAAATGAGTGATAATAAACATGCTTTACACTTTAGAAAAAATGGAGATTCAGAAAATGGATAAAAGGAAAAATACAAAAACGATAGCTTCTTTTTATGGAAAGGATTTGGTTCAATGGTTCTTGAGGACTTACAGCTTCAAGCCAGTGCTGTAGAGCTAGTTGCTGAGCTTTCTCGTCCTTGGACAATCCCTTTCCAACCTGCAATTGCATAAACTAAATCCCTTATCCAAAAGTTCTTTCACAGTAGAAATTCAACAGAACAAGTAGTTCGAAAAAAGAAAAAGAAAGAAACTCGGAACTCAATTGAAGAGTTAAAATGCATTTTGAATATTGACCTTGGCTGCTCTCGTTCTTGCTCTAGCCCACCGTGAAATAGCAGTTTCCGGTTTCTCATCATTGAAGAACGACACAGAGCATCGCTTGAGAGCTGCAAAGTCCAATGCTTTCCACCTATATATGTCGAAAATGAGAAGTTAATTTCAGTGAATTAATTAAGCAAGGACTATGTGAATTGACTAAAGGGTCAGCCGACAAACCATAGCTCCTCAATGACTACTGCACAATCTGCAAGGTTTCTTCGTGTCCGGTAGCTCTTGTATACTTTCTGAAGCTTGATGGCAGCAGCATCAAGCTCACTAACAGGTCGTGGAGTAAACATTATAGCAGGTTCCGGGAGGGAAACCGCATTAACTGATTTATAAGTAGAACCATCTGTTTTTTCATATGCATCATCATATTCTGATTTTCTAATGTCTTGAACGAGATTCTTGAACGAAAGCGTCGTTTCAAGCATTAATTTTCTGGGCTCGCAACTCCTCAGGTTTATCGAATTTTTCCTACATAACTTATTGCATCCTTTTGCCATAGTAATGGCCGAATCTTCTTTACCAAAACTGTTGGTCCTTAAAGTCAGCCAAAAAAAATAAAATAAATAATAACTGATAACAAGGGGCAAATCCAAAAGAATGTCTCCCAATTTCTTCCCAATAAACAGCAAATGATTTCAAGGCAGGCTCCCTACCTGCACAATTTGTAAAAAACTCCCATTCAATTATGAAATACCATGAAAGTTTTGAATATAATATAACCAAGAAATGCTTTATAATAATCTCTGTTTCTGTTATTGGGAATTACCCAGCAAAATTCAAATGAAAACTGCAAAACCATTAATCTTTTATACATAATAAACATCATATAACATAACCTTCTCAATAAAACATAGAAACTCAGAGTTCTCATTGTAATAACAGAAACCTCATTCATATATGAAATAAAGAAATTATTTTACTAAGATAATTATGAAAAACTCACCAGAAATAAAAGACCTAAGAGTAGCTTAAATATCCCTTTATTGTCCGAATTTCATTACAGTATGCTCGTAATTATGATGAACACCTTCCCTCTATATATACACACACGAAGCATGAGCTCTATTTTATGTACCGAACTCTTGTAAATGGAGCTTCAAATACGGATAGGACGTGTGGACAGAAGACTCCACAGCGGTTTTTGAATTCTTGTTCAACACAGAGATTTCTTTTAATTTTCTTATTCAAACCTTTCAAAGGCACGAGTTTGATTAATTCAAAGCTTGATATTTTGAACCCCAGATTTACGAAATATATATGCCAACTTTTTATGAGCTTTTCGGTTAGACCTCTGGTTTTAAAGAAGAATAATGAATTCAAATTATAAATAAATAATTTATTGTTTAACAATTAAAAGTAAATTATTTAACTACTAAAATAAGTGATTTCTTATCGTATAATTAAGAAAAAATACATTTTCAAATATTTTTAGAAACAAATATTTAACTAGACCTACTTCCAAGATGAGCCTAACGTGCACTAGTTCCTTTCTCTGTTCTGCTAACCATAGATCACAAGATTTTAAATGAAAATACAGGATTCTTCGAATTGGCTCGACTTTTAGATAAACCCCCGTTTGGTCCCCATTTTGTGAAATGAAAATGGATGAAATTTTTTTTTTTTTTTAAATATGAGTTGTTGAAAAGGAAGGAAAAATTTTCGATTTACGTATAATATTATTTTGTAGAAGATTGTATAGTTGAAAATAGGAGAGAGAAAAATGAAATAATAAGTTTGTACTATATTATTGAAGTTACGCAAAAATAAAAATACGTGGATTAAGTCTCATTTAAAAATGTTTTTCACATGTTAGACATGATCAACACAAAATGAGGTGTTAGAGATGAAATTTAAATCAATATATATAACTCCTCTCTAATAACTTAGAGCTTTTAAATGAGCCAATTTGCATGTAGGAGTTTTATTGTATTAGCCACTAGGTCATGAGATTTTATTTTATTCCGTGTGTACGAAATACTTGAGATTTCTTTAGTTGTGCTTTACTTTCATATTTGTTTTACTCTCATCATATTTAGCTTGGGATATGTTTGATGTAGAATATTTTAGAACGTAATTTGTGAAAAGTATTTAAAAAAAAAATGTGTGATCAAGTAGAAGTAAAAAGTTATGAGTTCACATGCAAAATTATTTTTTACAGAATGTATGATTGAAAATAAAATTGTAGAAAAATGAATTTTAAGGAACATATACAGCTTAAATAGATGGTCAACGAAGTAAATTCTGAAGGTCATGTGAGCTTAAATAAATGGTCAAAGAAGTTGAAGGTCATTAATGCGAAAAACCTCAATATAACCAACAAATCGTGTAAACGCCTCTTCCGTGTTATGAAATATTCAAACTTGAATACTTTAACACAACAAATTGGTCTTTCTAGATAATTTTTGTTTGCAAATTAACTAGTTGGGGGTGTGTGAGAAAGAAGTAATTTTATTTTATTTTTCTTCATTTCTTTGACTAAAATATATTTTTTATTCAATTTATCTTTAATGCTAAAACCGTTCATAACGATCAATTTGCTTTGAAAATATCAAATTGCTTAATTTAAGCATGGTTTGGTGACATTTATGACAGTGGTCTAGTAGGTTGTCGCATGGTCAAAGGTCAAGAAACGCGCAAACACGAAAATGCTGATGTTATTAATGTTTGGTGCCATTACTAAATCGACGGTCTTGGTCAATGATGCGTGCATCCTTCCTTTCTATTATTTTCTTTTCCTTTGCCTTCTTTTTGAGTTCGTTTTAACATAAAACGACCGCTACACGACTTGGAATACGCCCATTTGTCATCTTAAGATAGGTTTAAGGAGTTTTCAAGAAGCATAAAAATAAGTTTTAAGAGATTTTCTATTCTAATTTTTTAAAATACTCACTTTTCACTTTACAATAATTGTATTTAATAAGCTTCAAATTTCAATACTTTATTTATTGGATTATTCAAATTTTGATTGATCATTAACATTCAAAAATATGTTTAAAAAGAAGGAAGAAATTAATAAATGAATCTTTAAAAGAATACTAGTTCGCGTCTCGTGCGTTGCACGAATTTTATATTTATTATGTTATTATTAGTGTGGAATGTGTAGAATTTAGAAAAAGTGTTTACGAAGTTTAATGGCTTTTTTTTAAACTCCCTTCGGGATTTGTATTTTGGGTCTATTTTTTGTTACTTTCTTTTACTTGATTGCAAGAATTCGATATTTTGAGTCTTTTTTATTGAAATATTGGGTGGGTACATTAGATTCTTATAATCACATTATGTTTGAAGAATCACATGATTTTTGGGTGATGAATGTGGGTGGTCGGAAATTGGTTTATTTGGAGATTTCTACGATAAAAAAAAAATAAAAATGCTACAGTGTTATATTCACTCGTTACCTTAATGCCTGCGATGATTTTATTTTTTTTAAATGGAAAAAATCAAGATAGTGACTAAAACCGTTCCTAATCTTAACGATTATTCACCAGCAAACAGAATTCAAATTCGATTTAAATTTAACGAGATATAACCAAAACAATATTTACTAAAAAAGGAAACAATCCATAAACGAAGAAATTTGTCCAAAATTGGCCCCACTTCAGAGCAAAGCTGCTAATCTTTATTCATTGGCACGTTTTCAATCAAAATGACTAAAATTTCATTAAAATGGACAACCTCAAAATTTCTCCAAAACTCGAGAAATTGGAGTTAAGAAATGAGAAAAACGAAATAAAATTCTCCAAAAACCACGCACTCCGTGCATTCTGTGACATGGAGTGGGAGTGGCACTTCGTGCACGGATGGGGACTAATTTTTTATTTTAATTTTTTTTAAATTTTTAACAAAATAAATCTGAAACATTAAATGATTTATATTAAAAAAATGAGATTCTTTGTCAAAAATCTGGGTAGGATGAGTGCGTGTGGATTTATTTTTTATTAATATTTTTTTTTTCATAATTTTAAGTTAAAAAGACTTCATTCTATATTTACCTCTTCCGCATAATTTTGATTTTAAGATCAATAAATCATTTATTCATGGTTTTTCAGTGTATACCACGAAGGTTTGCAAGACACCATCTGCCAAAACGTGCGCGCAGTGTTTAGATCCACGACTCTTTACATCACAATTGGAATATCACCACAAATTTAAAACCAAACGGTGTAATACGACGTCTTGTTATAGGCTGGGCAAATTTTCTCAGAAAAAAAAACTATGAATGGGCGATACATGTGTGTTTGAATTATTGAATAACAAACCCCTGATGTTTATGGTCAACAAAAAAAGACTGGACCAATGGAAGCTTGACAAGTTTATGAGACTTTTTTACTTGTAATTGCATTTGTGTGTATCGAAAATGTTTGATTTTTATGTTAATCGATTTCGCTATTTCTAAATCTAATTCTATTTACTTTCTTATTTACCTACATATTTCATACACATCTCAATAACTTTTAATTATTTACAATTAAACAATACTACACCATTCCTTACTTGAAATTTCTTAATTGAAACATAATCTTTCTTCTTTGAAAAAGAAATTATTGCACTTTCATTAGGCCAATACCTATATCATTCCACCACAACATTTGTTGTATATTCAATGAACACCAAAGGCCTATATATAATTTTAATAAATATTTAATTTTAATATGCATCCATTGCACACACCCACAAAGAATGAAAAAGAAAAAGGTACCAACACGAATACTTTTAAATGAACAATTCACATATAAAGCAAGGAAAATAACTTGATCGCATTCCCTTAAATGAATTTGAGCTGTAGAACATCCACAAATTTCGAACAAAACAAGAATAAGAGCTTAAGTTCAAGACAACCAAACCTCAATCAATCTATCAAAAATAAAAAAAAGAATTTTAATTAATTTCACATTTCCTATATAACAAATCAACATCCAAGCTAAAATCATACAACACAAAAATAATAATAATAAAATAAATAAAAAAATCACATGAAAGCGGATTTCCCCTTCAAAATCATTGTAAGAAAAACCCTTTATATACTAATGTCATCACGAACTACGGAGAAGCACAACTCTTAATTCAAACATTTTCCACGCTTCCCTACAAATTATAATCAGACTAGCAAAAATAACATGATTCCGTCCATTAAGAGGCATACAAATATTTGCGCAAACGATCGAATACAAACAGAGAGAACAAAGACAATAGGTGTAAAGAGAACAAAGACAATAAGTGTAAAAATTGGAACACAAAAATCACAAATCTTAAATCTTTAGTTCTAACTCCGAAAGGAAATAACACAAATCACTAAAAACAAAATATCACATTCGAACCCTTACTCATCATCTCATTAACAAATAACAAACCAAATTTTATAGAACCTAAACCTTCGATCAAATATAGAAGACATAATTTTTTTTTTACAGAAGTCCCAAAATTTTCGCACCTTAGAAGGCTATATATCTCAAAATCCTGAAAGAAAAGAACGTACAAAAAAAAATCGTAAATAAACTAATTGGAAAACATAGATCCTAAAAGTGTACACTACATAGAAGCCAAAAAACAGTATCACGAACTACAAAATGGAAAAAAAGGAAATTTAACTGATTGGTTGGAAAGAATCAGCCCGGAAACATTGAATCAAAAACCTGAAAAATAAATACAAAAGAAATTAGTTTATAAGCAAAATAAAATAGAATAGAAAAGAAATAATATACATGGAAAAGAAAAGACCCAATAAACTTTAGAGAGAAGAAGAAATTATAGGTTATTTATGTGGTGAAAGGGAGAACCAAAAAGGCAATAACGTATAAAAATGGAGAAGATATTAAAAAGATATACGCGAATTGAGAAAGAGGGAAATTGTCACCGTAGCATGTCAGGGAAATAATTGAATAGGAAACGATTTCATTTTTGCTCACATTCGACGAAAAAAGAAAAAAAAAGCTACAATAAGACAAAATGGAAGAATCCACCGTTGCCTCTACAATACCTCCAAGATTGCCTTTTTTATATAGTAGGGATAATGAAGCAAGGGTGGAGCTAGGATTATTATTCAGTGTGGGCAAAATTTCTTTTGATGTGTTCGTATCCTTTACATGTAGGGATGTCAATTGGGTCGAGCCGGCTCGCGTCTCGTCCGCTTGGCTCGTCAAAGCTCGGCTCGTTGGCTGCTCGAGCCGAGTGGGGGGTCCCATCCAACTCACCAAGCCCGCTCGCCCACGGGTCGACTCGTCCAAAAATGTGAAAAAAAATAAAATTTTATCAATAAAATTTGAAAAATTTGCAAAAAATAAAATAAAAATTCACGAGCTCACGAGCCGCTCGTGGGCTCGGCCCACTGCCATCCCTATTTACATGCTCTAATAATTCTTTCTCAATTGTTGTCGTTATGATAAACATAGCCGTGCTCGCTTTGATTACCTATTTTTATAGAGCCATGATTTTCTCTAGCTATATCGTGTCACTTCCGTCAACTACTTTCTATGGGTCCTGTAGTGACCAAAAAAAAAAAAATGTTTTGTTTCATTTTAAAATAAAACTTCCTTGTATAACTCGAATATAATTTGGTTTATATTATTACTTCGCTACGACCCTTCCTTAAGTGTTCAAATTAAAACTTCGGTCACGATAGTAAAATTTCGTGTACTTTTTTTTTTTTTTAAAGTTTTGTAAGGTGCCGAAAATCTCGTTTAGACGACAAAAATTTATTTTGTTACATTATTATTTTTTTTACTACACATTTTTTTAATTAATTTCTACCTTAAATTTTAAATTAGATACACTTGTTATATTGTACCAAATAACCCCAAATTCGATTCCATCATCTTGAATTGTTCTTATGTTTTTTTTTCCATCCACAAAGTTTATTAACTACCCCACTTACTAAAACCTCCACTTTTTTTTATTTGTTAACTACCAATATATATATGTATGTATATATAAACTGCCATTTGATCAAATTGGGAAGTTAACGTGCATGTACTTGTCCATCCATTTAAGACTAACATTTCAAGGTCATAACCACCCCCACTCATATTATCATTTGCAACTTCCATTTTAAATGCATTGTCGATCACCACTTGATTTGAAATTTAAAATAGTAACCGTCCTTTTTGTTTTTAAAAGTCACAAGTTTATTTTGAAAACTCAAATTTAAACTCCTTTAGCCACGTTTTCTGTCCCAACTTATTTTGCCTTTTTCTCATAGACTAAAGGAAACCTCTAAATCTGAAAATTATTTGAAGAAGAGGCTTAGGGTACGCTACATTTTACTTCAAATTGGACATAAAAGGTTATTCACACTCAACGCATTTAAGGTAGGGGTGTTACAACCTTTTTGTAAGTGATGTAAGAATTATTTATTTTCGTTTTGTATTAAACGTGTTATTGTGTTACTTATGAAGTAAATGATTGAAGGTGACACTAATGACCAAAGTTGGTATTTGTGTTGCTATGTTACTCATGAAGGAAGCACTCTTTGGTGTTTCAAATAAGAGAAAGAGATTGACGGTGACACAATGACCATGGTTTGCATTTTCAAAAATATATATTATTTTACCACTTATTTTAGCGCCTTCCTTCCCGCTGAGCATTATTCATGGTACTCATTCCTACTAAAATTTCACAGGTTGATTCGAGGCATGGACATGGTTTGACATAGTGGCAAGTGCTTGGTGATTTAAAAAGTTGTCAACTTTCTAGTAAAATTTTCGGTGCGTGTAAATGTGTTTTGAATACTTAGATGACACTTTTAAAAATGTTTAGATATCTATTTCATCTAGTTTTATATGCATTGTACATCGACTATAATTTAAAAATGTTGTATTAGACTATGTATGAAATTTAAGTATTGCTGTAATGAAATTTCAGATTCTGCCCTTCTACTCAAAGTAGCATCACTTGGGCTACATTACATTTTTAGAGTGAATTTAATTGGGTTTGAAAGATTTACAAGTCTTCTAATAGCGGCCTTTGAAATTATCCAAAAATATTACCTAGAGAAAAAAGTTATGCCCGTTTTAATAAACTGCGTTGGGTTAGATTCGAATTTTATGTCCAGCATAGTCGAACAATATTTTCATGCTTTGGGTCGTATGGTATTAAATTGCAGTCGTATGGTATTAAACCCATGCGGTCGCATGGTTGCCTTCAGAAAAGTGAAAGCCATGTCTCAATTGTTCCATGCAGTCACACAAAATTATACCATGTAGTCCCATAGTTCATTCCGGTAGTGAATTTTTGGTTTTCTAATTTAAGTCAGACTCTTATGAAAATACATCTATTCACGATATTTAAACCTTAGAATGTCCTAAAAAAAAAGACATACCTCCATACCTATTTTTCTCTGGTTTTGCGCAAGAATTTCATGGAGAACTAAAAATCTTGGTGAACCTACGAAGGGATTCAGTAGGTTTTGGTGACTTCAACATCTTTTGATTCATGTAAATTGATTTTTTTCATTGTCAAACAATTCTAGGGTCTAGATTTTCTTCTCATAAATTTGTTTAGAAATTGGCTTAACTTTTATTAAGTTTTTCATGGATTCAATCATGCTTTCTCAATTAAACAACTGAAATATTTATTTGAGTTTCAATTTTAATTAATTTTATTGGTGTGATTCAATTACTACTTTATGCTCGATGTATATTGTCATTTTTTGAATCTTATTTCAATAAATAAAAATGGGAACGTATTTTAGGAAGTTTAAACTTTGGAATTACTATAGAATTAAATTAGGTTTCCATGATATATTTTTTGGTTAGGGAGTTCGGTCTAACGTCTTTAATTGAGTTATAAGAATGAATTGATGATGTTGAATGATCCAAATTGAGGGAATTACGATGCTTCACTAATTCGAACATTGATATTTAAATTTTACTTTGCTAAACAAATCCTAATCACACAATTCACGAGAACCCTAAGCTATTGAATCCTGAAAATAGTTCAACCATCTCCCCATGTAATTGACACCTCAAAGCTGTGCTAATTACCGCGCTATTCTTGGGGCATAATCAGAATTGTTCGAGCTCTAATCAGAATTGTTCGAGTTCATATAAGAATGAGCCAATCACCAAAAAAGGGTATATAAGTCAAGAGAGCTCGATTCAACTTGGCATGACCAATGTGGTCCACAAGCCAAATGACACAACCAAGCCTAGGATTTAAACGTGATCAAATATGCCTACATCTACGTTGACGATAAGAATGAGATAAAAAAAAAAAAAAAAAAAGTTAAAGATACAAGTGTGATAATAAGTAATGGTTATGGATATCTGCTGTAGTAATATGTTGATTAATTATAATTACGAATAAATATATTTATACCACAATTTTTTTATAGAGTAATGATATTTGTCCAGACTCAAAGAAAGGGAAAAAATAGACTGATTTGGTGATTCTATAATTTCAACAAAATAGAGTAAAAATGACTTGTGGTAAAATATATTCACACCACAATTTTTAATACCTAGACTACATTGTAATTGCACAAAAAGTTCATAAAATCTACATATTATATCCTTTCTGTCTCAAACTTTTTTTTAACACATTATTATTGTCAAATTAACATAAATTTTTCTAATTGTGGTTTCTCTTCAATATTTTTTTTTTTTAAGATAGAGTAAAAATATTATTTATCCATTGCATTTTAAATAAGTAAAATATATAATAATACAACAATGCGATTAAATATTTGATTTTCATTTTAAAGAAAATATTTTTGGATGAAAATCATGATTAAAGACAATGTTTTTTGATCAATAAAATGTTAAAAATAAGAATAGGCTGAAGAAAAAATGTTAAGGATATATAAATGTGATAATGATTAAAAGTTTATCATCTTTAATGTAATTGAAATGTGGTATGAATATAATCTATGTTATATTTTTTAAATAAGCCAAAAAAATAAATACCAAATTAAGATGACTTATTTGTCCCTTATTTTAAAGCACGCTAACAATAATTTCAAATAAAAATATTAACTGAGAACAATGTAACTAGTTAATAGAGATTTAAGGATAAGAATATGATAAAAAAAAATGTGTATGGGATAAAGATAAGAATATGATAGAAAAAATTTATGAATATATATGTAACAATGAACAAAGGTCAAGGATAATTAAATATATAATGAGAAATGTGGTGTAAAACTATCGCTATCACTACTATATTAAAAGAGAGAAAGATGCATGTACTGTTCATTTGTGAACCCTTGTCGTGATAGCCACAATTGTTGATAGATGAAATTGTGGCGTGTAATTATGGGATTAACAAGGTAATGCTCCATTGTCAAGCCGATTCCACTAAGTTGTGTTTGTCATGTGACTAGCTCTTGCACACAGCTAATGCCCGCTCCAAGAAGCATCTCCACTTGCAGGTCTGTGACAACTGTAGTTTGGAGCCGTTTTTGTAAGGTGTGTCATCGACAACTTGGTGTTGTGCTAGGAGTGCAATTGGGATGCCTATGGTAGCTGCAACATGTCCGCCTCTCATGATCGGGTTCCGATCAAAGAATTTTCGAGTTGTCCATCGGCACTAGAATTGGCATTGGATCGGGGATCGGAAACTAAGGACAAGAAACCGTTGAGTTTGACTTCGGGTTCGAACTTGGAATGATGGGTAGGTGGTTGAAAGCTTGGATAAGTAAGGACAGTTTGTCTAACTCGGTGATGCAGCACAGTGGCAAATCCAGGATTGGAACTCAGCTAGGGCGAACGTTGACCATCGACAATCAACGTCCATAATAACGAGGATGTTTATTAATAATATTCAATTAAATAATAGTAAAAATTCTTCAATCTATAAGTAAATGTACTGAAACTTAAAAATCTACATGAAAATACAATTCAATACAATCTGAAATAATAGTACACAAAAAATACATGATACAATTTGATTCCAACTCCTTAATTTAGTAGTATAAGTAAAAATATTCAAATCCCTCAACTCCTTATACTAATTCAATTAACTGACGGGAATTTCTCCATCTTAATCAATTATCTTCGATCTATTGAGTTAAAATCATCAAGCAATCCACATGTTGCTTATTCTACCAAATTAGTGCCAATTCCAATCCCTAAATTCTCTCAACCCTCTACAATGTTGTCTTCATTCAATTCACACAGAATTCGTGCTATCTAAAGAAGTGATTCTATCCAAATTCAAAATCCCTAAATATCACATACTGCAATTTTACTTTTATTCCTATTGTTATTTTTCATAACTCATAAAAAATAAATCATAACTCATAAATAATAAATCAAGAATAAATTAAGTGAACAAAAATAAAAAAGGAGGGGGGGAGAGAGAGAGGCACTCATAATTAGTGTAAGAGTCTAAGACTGGAGGTTGGAGAGGTCAGCAACGACTTGTCGGCAAGCTACAGTATTGACTTCTGAATTCGCACTTCACAAATCGTGGGGAAGAAGGAGAATTGGAGAAGGGTTTCCTGTCTGCAATTATATGGGCAATCAATAATGGATTTTCAATTAAAGATATATATTGACATATATCAATGGATTGGGCCTAATATTTTCAAAAAATAAGAAAGGCCCATCATCCTAAACAAAAGGGTCGAAACAGAGAGAGAGAGAGAGAGAGAGAGAGAATAACCCAATTCAGTCGTCTTCTTTCTTCCACAATTTCCATCCCTGCAACTGCAAGACTGTCGCCTGACAACTATTTAAAATTTCGATAGAGCAGCACGTACGGTTGTTTAGGTGAATCTAGCTAGGGCGGCCTTCCCAGCTCGCCACCACTTAGATCTGCCACTGATGCTGCACGATTTGATTCTGCTGAACTGTAATTCAATAGTTTACTCGATTTGTGGTAGAGATATGATAAAGAAGGGAAGTCGTGATTTTAAAGCAATTACTGGAGTTGTATAATTAGGAATTGTCTGCGCAGGTCGAGACGGCTGTGGAGAGGTTGTTCAGCCAAGTACATTGAGGTACACGAGAATAAAAATAAGGAATACTAGGGGCAACAATAAGAGAAGCATCAGCATCCGAAAGAGGAAGTGATCATGATATGGGATACAAGCAGCACATCAGATCATGGCGCACATGTTTTTTTCCCCCCCACAAAAATGTTATCTTTTTTTGTTTTTACAATTAATATTTAGACTTTCCTGTCATGTTGACTAATAATGGACATATTATGGTTATGTTGACCCAACAAAATCCCAGCCACCTCCCCCTCCTCGTAGACATCACCTGCGTATTGAAATACCCTATTAGGAGGCAAATGCTACCAATTGAGTAAAACGTCCGACGATCATTTGCTCTCCAACGGTCAAATGGGAGAAAAAGAGTGTAAGAGACGGAAGAAGGAGTTTGGCTAGGCTTGTAATACTTATCTTTTGTGAAATAAGTTCAGCTATATATAGGAGGAAAATTGGGCCATAAGAGATAATGGGCCGGACTAGTCTAGTCCCTAAGATGTTACTTGATTAATTAGCTCGATACAATTGAATAATCAATGTCGAGTCTATGAATATAGGCTCTCCATCATGTATATGTCACATAATATATAGATATAACAATATACAAGTTAGATTATTGCTAGATAGTTAGTGGACATGGGATCATCTTTAGATTGAATGGCTTGATAAAGTTCATTTTTTTAGGTTTTTGAAGGTCTATACGTAAGTAATTAGAGATTGGTCATGAATTAATGTACTACTATAATGTTAATGGCCTTCCTTTTGGCATTTTAGATCAGAACAATGCTTTTTGGAAGATATTTTCAACATATTTTGTCATCAAATACTAAATAAGATATGTGAGGGGATCAAAGGAACAATGGTTTTTCTTGCCAGTTAAAGATTGCTCTTTCTTTTCTCTTCCCCCTCTCTTCCAAATAATTGTCACATATCACTTGTCATTTGGATTTGTTCCATCACTTTTTATTCCTTTTTTTGGTTGAAATTAGTTTACTCAGTTTTATGTTAGATTGAGGAGATCCAAGATGTGTTTTTGTCTCATCAACCTGAGTTTACATTTTCACTATTCCACGAAGGTTGTAAAATTGAATCTTTTGGGAAAAATAAACGTGCATCAATTATATCTAAATAACATACCTTTTACATACATAATATTAGACACAATTTGACTTACCGAAGCTAAATACGTAAAGTAGAAATGAGAAATGCAAGAATATGAATTTGGTCGAGACAAGATTTTGACTCTTTCTCCTTAAAACGATAATATCGCACACAAGTATTGACGGTTTTTTAGCATTCATCTACGTAATTTACCAACAAGTTAAGTATTTAAGTGACTTAAATTTGCTTTAATTTTTCATTCACCAAATAACAATTTTCACTTAAATAATTAAGAATTTGTCAAAATCAATTTTATATATGAAGTTTCAATAATCCTGCATATGAATGAAAATTAATGCAAATGCTAAAGAGAGTTCAAGTGAAAAGCTATTGCATCTGGATAGGTACCTTATAGGTTTGAACTTTCCGTACTTGGCTAATTAGTGAATCCGATGTCTTGAATTGTCAGTCGTTGATGTAAATCAAGATAATAGTAATCACACAATAACCTTCATAACATTTTTGAGTTCTCACTGTTGTGTTCATTTTGACCCTGAACAACTCTTGAGGTTTTATAAGTGCCTTAGAGAATTCAAACCTTGAAACATTCTCGTAGAAGCGCCCCCACTTCACACTTATATAGGTGATCCTTTGTTAAGAGTATCTATCATACCCTACTTGGTTTGTCCAAGATATAGAAATCATTAAAAGTATAATTTAAACAAAAACTTTTTGAATATAGCACTTTTCTTATCATAGGAATGACTAAGAGTTAATTCCAAGTGCTCATTAAGAGTTAATTCCAAGTGCTCATTGAATCTTCATAAATTAATTTTCCCATTGAACTAAGATTTTGGGATCTCTAGTCAACAAATTTGGGTTACCACTAAAAAAATCCTTATGCAGTAGGCTTTAAGCACATTTCCCTCGATATGCAATATACTTCATCTCTCGATAAATATTTTCTTAGTGGATCCATGAGTTTACACTAATTGAGATCAGCTGCTTTATAATATTATGTCTACAACATATATCTTGACTTACCATTGACAAACTCTGTATCTTATTAATAATAGTTAGCAATCACAATAATTCATTTAATAGATATAAGTAGTCACCAACTTAGAAATCCTTCCATAAAGGCATCAACCCACATGCTTTTATCTAGCTTTATCTAAAGCTATAGATTTTCCAATCGACAATTTATTTGCAGGATTTGTAGCATACATCACTGAATTGGCCTTTCCCAAAGCCTAGTTGTCGGATCACAAGATGTTATGGATGTGAATCACCAATGATTTTCGCCTTGGTTCTCTTGAACAAAGATGTGTCGATGTTATGCAATGAAAAAATAATGTGGCAATTCTTAAGAAAAATCATCCATGGCTTCTGTGTTTATATTTGAGAGCAACTACTTATCATGGGCCGTGTAAAATTCTCTAAAATGAGACCTAGAGTTTGGTTGCATAACATTGTCGGTTGATTGACAGGTCGGTGAAATGCAAGCGCCATGGGACCAAAGAGTGAGCTATGAGCTCTTTGCTTTTTACGCTCGAGCATTGGCCTAGCAAAAGATTCTAACAGATTTCTTCCATTTTTCAAAACTCGAACCCTAGCCTTCCAGCTATACATAATTGCACCCTAAGTCCTTGATTTTTACAACAATGTTTAATTGAGTCCCTTTTGTTCACAAAATCACCAATTACAATATAAAACCTAACAAACTTCCTCTTTGACATTTTGTGATTAAATTATACAAGATAAGTCAAAGGATTACAATAAATAAAAATAAGCTAAACTACCCAGCATTCTCAAACACTGAGTCTTGCATTCCTTGTTGTACCTATTTCATGAAATTCAAAAACTCACATACCCAATGTAAAGTGCGTGATATAGGAAAGATAAAAATTAAAGCACTTAATCACAAATCAACATGCCAGTTTGAGACGCGACATTGATGCCAATCAAAATACCAACCGAAACACCAACATCACTAAACATCAAAGCTCAAGCAGCAATGGAGATAATGCGCACATGCAAATGCAAAGTCGCTCTATACTCTTATTTCTCCCCTCAGTTACACATTTCTCTCCCCCTTTTATCACAAATGTTGAAGGGGATACTATTAAAATCAAACAGAGTAATAACGTATAAAAAAGTACAAAATGCACTTGATAGCAAGCACAAGCAAGGGTGTCAACAAATTGAGCCGAAACTCCTGGCTCAAGCTTGGCTCGAGCTTTTTTAAAGCGAGCTTTTTTTGGGAGCGAGCCGAGCAAAAGCTCGGCAAAAAAATTAAGGCTCGATCCTAGCTAGCTCGATTTTTTTTAATACACTTTCCCCTCTTAGCTGCCAAACAGGCAACTATAAAGCTGTACTAAATGATTGCATGTTTGTTTTAATGTTTCTTAAATGAAAATTCAATAGCCATTGTTCCTTGTATATGTTCAACTTCTTACAAGCTACTTTCTTGCTATTGAAATTAGTTTGAAATCATTGATATCTCCTCTTAAATTTTTTGATTTGGATGTCATCCTTGCAAATATATCTTCTATATTATAAGTATTTTCTTTTATGCAGAAAGCATTATTCCCTTTTATTTATTTTTTAATTCTTTTTTCCATTTTGTTACATCTATTTTAGGTCTAGTGATCATCTTTGATATGAAGCTAATTTGTCCACAAGTATTTTACATGCCATACTGGTTGGATGTACAAAGTTATTTCATTAGGCATACACTTATATTGATTGTGAGTATATCCAAGCTCATGTTCATATCAGTGTGTGATTTTATATATACAAATACTTCTGTGACTAAAATATCAAATACGTACCATAGATCATGTACATATAAAAACCTCAATCCCTAAAAGAATCTCACATAGGCATAATGAAATCTATTCACAAAGTGTATGTATAAATACTACAGATTAGTAATTGTCCAAGATTTAAATGAAAACTCATTGAACTTTCAAAATAATTCCATTCATATTCTACACACTAACATTACATTGAATCTGTAATTACCTGTTTAATACCTTGCTTTTAGGGGTGCGCGTGAGTCAGTTCAATTCGGTTCTAAAGAGAACCGAACCGAATCAAACTTTTCGAGTATCTAGTAAATGGAACCGTCGGGTCCAAATATAATTATGAAATCGTTCGGGTTCGATTCAGTTTGGTTCGATTCGGTTCTGTACTATAATTAAATTTTTTAACATTTATAACAACATTATATAAATACAACTAATGATATATTCAATGGTTTGGAAATGTCAGAGACTAGTAAATTACTTTGTTCAAATGATCGCCACGATCAAAGCTTCGGTCGACGAATGTCACAACTTCGATCGGAGGTCACAGTGTCGGCCGACGATTGTATAGGTTTTGGAATATTAGCGAGACTGCGAGAATGAGTGCGAGAGTCGAGACAACGTTATGCACTTTAGTGTAGGTGTTTAGGATTATTTAGTTGATTTGATCTTGTTTGGCTAAGAAATGAACAATAAAATGAGTAATTGGGCCAAAAATTAAAAAATTAGAAATGAAACAAATTATTGGGCCAAAAATTTGGATTTAGAAATCGTTAATTTGTTTAGAAAAAATTAAAATTAAAATAATTTGATTTACTCAATATAAAAAAATAGAAAGATTCGGTTCTTATTCGATTTTTCAGTTCTTGGTCTAGAATCGAGAACCGAACCGTACCCTTCGGTTCTCAATTCACATACCCGTTCGGGTATTTAATTTGACAAGAACCATCGGGTTCGATTCGGTTCGGTCGGTTTGGTTTGGTTTGGGAGATTTGCCTAACCCTACTTGCTTTGCACTCAAAATCTCTAATTCCATTTAACAGTAGTATACAATAAATTTTCTCATTACGGCTATAGTTTTAAAATAATTGTGGTGCATTTATTAAAAACTTATTCAACTAAAAAAAGAATAAAAAAAATAATAATTCCCCACATGGCTTTACACCGATTTGCATCTGGGGAAAAAAAAAATTGAAAAAAAATCATCATAAAGAGGAAGAATGAGCCTTAATTACCTTCCCATTTCTACCACAATTTTTTGTCTTCTTGATTAAAGTACACACAC